CTTTTAGATCACTTGCTTAACACTAAAAGTGCCAGCAGAATCGCAGGCCATTATTCCAAATGTCATTCCATGCCAAAGCCATTTCCAGTGCCCTTCCCTCCAATGAATGAATCAAAGAACATCTGCCAGTTCGCTTATCTCGTCCTTGTAAATCTTCTGTAGGAAGAGTTTAACATAACTTAATTTGGGCTCAGTTTGAGTAAAAGAGGTCACCGGGAAGTCTTTAAAAATATAGTGCTAGGATCTTAACTCTTTAAAAGAAAGGGGTTTATGCCTTAATTCTGTTTAATATGGGAAGTACATTTAGAATGAAATTACTCCCACCACCACCCCCAGTAACAAAGACTTTTTCTGTACTAATTCATCCAGCAGAAAAAAAATATTGTGCCCTTTTCTTCACGCTGGAGTTCTTGCTTCCAGCGGAGCCTTTTAAGTCAAGTAGTGAAGGTACTGGGTGGAATTACTTTTTAAAGCCTTTCTTAACAATACGTTACAGTTACAGTGCAGGAAATAGTTCCATCTACTTTCAAATGTGTTTCATCAGGAGACACCTGACGGCAAAAATTAATTGACCAAAAGACAAAATTGAAAACGAACTCTTGACAATTAGCTATTGGTTGCGACTGCTATAGAGATTCATGATCAAAACCCAAGCCTGCAAAAGGAAGGAAGAGTACATCAGGTAAGGGGGAAAAAAAATAATGGTTTAAAATAGTTTTACACTGCATGGTAGTTTTTTGCATAGGTTGGAGATTCAACAGCACAAGTGTAAGTTTATGTAGCACTCCTTCAACAATTCCCTAATACACAGCATCCCTTGGAGGTCAGGACAGTCAGAAATGAATATCAGCTCCAGTGCCAATATGTATGCCAATGGCTCTTTTCTCATGTCACGGTGAGCCATAAACCGTGGTTTACTGTAGACCATGGTTTACCGGAATGTTAGTGCAAAATACTGAATAGCTCCTACTGTGTTCTTCTTTTTAGTGAGCTGGGGAGCAACACATTATGAAGTTTGGTATTCTGTGTTAGCCAGCTCTTGTCTTTTGCTGCTCCCCAACAAACCATGATTGGTAAGCAAGGTCAGTAGATGTAGAGCCACTAAACAATTTTTAAAACTCAGTAAAGGCTCTTGAGATGCTGCAGTATTGTTGTTATTAATATTATTCTTAATAATAATTAAATTTATTAGTTTTTTTGCCACAGCAACTCAAAGTGACTTACAATATTTTAAGCAAAACAACACATGCATACATTAAAACCACTACTACTACTACTAATAATAATAATAACCCCACACAAGTAAAAAGGCCAAATATAGTTAAAAGACAAAGGCATGATTAAAAAGCAATGCTTTTAGCTGGCACCTAAAGATGTGTAACAATTGGGTCAGGGGAGAAGCTTTGGGGAGAACACCCCATAAGTGGGGAGCCAATGTTGAAAAGGCCGCCCTCCAGACTTGCTACTTTTTGACTGCATGTTTTTCAAAAAAATGTTGAATATTTCCAATTGAGCCCCTTGGTTTGAAAAAAATAATTGATATAATTTTTAAACAGTGCCCAGAGGTTTATTATGTAAAATATAATAGGGTTTGATAACACAGGAGAAAAAAGGAAATGTAAAATTTTGAAAGTGTAAAGCTTAGATGGAACATGATGTTTGCTAATAGTAAATGGGAAGCTATTTCTTTAAATTAAGCTATCAAGCTCTATTCCTTTAAGAGGGAATTAATTTACAGTGCAGCCACATGTGTGTTTCCTCGGAAATGAGCCTCATTGGGTTCAGTGGGGCTTACACCCAGGAAAGGGAGTATAGAATAGCAGCTTTAGGCTGCATAACTGGTATTTAAACTCAGTAACACAAAAAAATGTGAATATGAAAATGTGCATTATTTGGCACAGATATTCATATGTGGTGGGAATGCTTCAAAATCTAGTCTTATCTGTGACAAATCACAGAGGTTATTAGGTAAAACAAACTACAGTGGTACCTCGGGTTACAGATGCTTCATGCTACAGACTCTGCTAACACAGAAATAGTACCTCGGTACCTGAAATAGTATCTGAAGCAAATAGAACTTTGCTTCAGGATAAGAACAGAAATTGTGTGGCGGTGGTGCAGCAGCAGCGGGAGGCTCTGTTAGCTAAAGTGGTACCTCAGGTTAAGAACAGTTTCAGGTTAAGAACGGACCTCCAGAATGAATTAAGTCCTTAATAGTATACAGTGGTACCTCGGGTTATTTTAATTTATTACCTTCTCTTCTCCTTAAGGTCCAAGCTGCATATTCCTGCATTGCAGGGGGTTGGACTAGATGATCCACAGGGTCCCTTTCAGCTCTACAATTCTATGATTCTATGAATCCCAAAATGAAGTGGGTATCAGACTTGTTGGAGGCAAAGTGGAATCTCTACGAGACAGGTCTAGCTGAAGCATGGACCACTGAAAGACTTAAGACCTTAACAATCCAGTCATCAGACTAATGCTGCAGACAAATGTCTGTGTCAAGGGAATAGAATGTCTCCAAGCTTTCCATAACATCACAGTGCTAGGGTGGCTTGATGGGGAAGGAAGAGCAAACATCAAGTTGGGGGGAGGGAGTGGAGAATGAGCTCTCTTGTGAATGACAGTTCTAGCTTGTAATTGGAGGAAATATTTTTCTAGCACTCTCCAGTCACAGTGTTTTGGGAGGGAACAGCTTTGCAAGAGCAACACTTATGTCACTAAGCTTTAGAGAAATGCCAGGAAGGTGAGGTGGAAAGAGGAAAAAGGAGCTGCTTTGTGACTGACAGGTCTAGCTTGCCGTCCGAGGACATGATTTATATCCAGAAAGTTATCCTTTTTAGTTCTCCCCACCCCCAAATCAGTCTTAAAGTTGCCTAGCACAAAAGTACATGGACCTATTTGTTTGCAGTTTGCCAGGTTTCTACCCAGGGACAACTCTCTTGTGTTTGCAATTTTCAGACCCCCTTCTGTTTAACATCTGTGGGAAACCACTGAGTGGGCTCATCTGGAGTTTTGGAGTACGTTGTCAATGATATGCTGATGACACATAGCTCTACTTCTCCATTACATCTGCACGTGTGGCAGTGGATGTTCTGAACTGTTCTCTGACTTTGGGAATGGGCTGGATGAGAGCCAGCAAACTGAATAAACTCAATCTAAATAAGAGGCAGCATTAGTGGCCAGTTCCCTAGACCAGGTGGATGGGAGGTGGCCTGCTCTTGATGGGGTTATACTCCCTCTGAAGGAGCAGGTACACAACTTTGGGTATTGCTGGATCCATTACTGTCGCTTGTGGCTCAGGTGGCCTCAGTGGCACAGAGAGTGTCTCCTATCAGCTTTGGCTGGTGGCCCAACCTGCATCCCTATCTGGACAATAATAATCTAACTTATGCTGTCTATGTTCTAGTAACCTCTAGGTTAGATTACCTCAACAAGTTGTACATGGGGCTGCCTCTGAAGATGGTTTAGAAACTTCAGCTCCTGCAGAATTCAGCAACCAGGTCACTCACTGGGGCAAGACAGTTCAAGCAGTTGATGCCAATCCTGGCCCAGCTGAGAACTGGCTGCCAATTAGTTTACTCATAAACATGCTGGCATTAACCTATAAAGCCTTAAATTGCTCACAACCACTATACGACAATGCTGCCCCCCATGTGAACTGATCTGAACTAACCCCCTCATATGAACTGACCTCTCCCACAGAATGTGGTGATTGGTTGGGTATGTATGGGATGAAGTGATCTTTGAGGTATCTTGGTCCTAAGCTGTATCACCCCCAATCCTTCAGAATTGATTTTGAAGATGCAGGAGGGAAGGAGGCTAAAGGGGACTGGAGGGGAAGAAGTTCCATTGCATAAGCAGAGCTGCATTACTAGATTTAGTATCTTGTATCCCTTCCTGTTATCTTATTGTCAGATGAAGACCTCTTCCTTCTGCCTGGCCTTTGGAGGTTTATAATGTTGCCAACTGTTGTGCTGTGATGATGTGTTGGCTTTTTCTATTTTACTGTAGGTTGCTGGGTTTTATTATTGTTGTTGTTGTTGAAATTTGTACAGTATTTTAATATAAACCATACAATGTGCTGCAACTCCAGTTGAAAGGTCTAAAATATGATAGAGATACAGATACAGATAGATTTAGTCAGTCTCATTTGACCTTTGTTTATCCACTATTATTTTTTCTTTCTTTGCTTGGATTTTTTTAGATCAACTTGTCAATTCAATACATCCTTTGTAGCCAAAAAGAAAGGAAAATTCACTGGGTTGGGCCAAAATTAGACTGGGTAAAGCAAGAATAATTTCAGTACTGAGGTGTGTTGAAATGTGACATAATGAGATGGAATTTTGGGGGATTACATATTTGCATCTATAGTCATTTTGTAAAATGTAAACAACCCTTTCTAGTGTCCTCCTGGCAGAAATCAATGCATACATAGTGATACAATGGAATAAAACCTTACTCACACAGATAGAAGAATTATTTTGTTAGTCTGTCTTGTTAGAAGATAAGATGAAGCTATGATCTGATGTTAACTGGATCTAGTGGGCCTCCTTTGAGGCATGTTGGTTGCTTGCTCGCTTGAATATGATATTTCAAAGCTTGAATATTTCAAAATCAAATGAATAAGTAAATTTATTTATTTGTCTAAACTGACTAGAGGTTTATCTGGCACTTTAGATATTGTTGGCAGTAAAATAATGCCATGAATCAATCAAAATGTGAAACCTTTCTCTCCACACAGGCACTAGTAGTATTTCAGATTCCTTTGAGTTAGATTCACCAGACTTTTCCTTGGAACTCTACAGAATAATATCAGCTGCTGTAACACTTGTATAAAAAGTGTGTCATGAATGTCACTGAATTTATGCTGTTTAGGCACCAGGGTAGTGGTGGACAGTAAAAAGGTGGACAAAGGGTTCTAGGAGATTCAGAGCATAATTTTAAAAAAGATATAGTTAAAAATTAAGCTCAAACTTCATATTTATAATTTATTTTAGAGAAGAATAGCCACATGGATTAATGCTCTGACACTTCACTTTTGAAGAAACCAAAGAGGACCAATAGAAGCAGAATGTGCAACACCCAACCAGAAGAGAAAAGGTCAGCCTTTCAATTTTCACTAAGTGGAAAGGGAATGTCATTGCCTGACTTGAGCAATAAGACATATGCATAGCATTTCTCCCTGTGTACAAGGACAGGCTGACCTTGGTCAACATGCAGTGTTGTGGTGGTGCATTTGGTAGGGAAGAAGTGGAATCAGACCATACCTCTTTGTGGCATAGTTTTAACAAGTCAGAAGCATTTTCCACCTACTGTCCTATACAAGGGGGACTGTATAATATTGTCAAGCAAACTCGGGAAATAATTGCACAATCTGGGCTGTGAGAGCATAAAGCCTTAAATGATATAGTGTTAACTCAGAAAAAAGTCAGTCATACTTTAATTAGGGAAATTACCTATGACTAAAATCTCACTGATTTCAATGAGACTATCCACAAATTTATACAGAAGTAATGAAGCTTACGCCCATGTAAGTGTGCGAAGAATGCAGGCTAAATGTGACTAACTTTATCTGGATTGGGGCCTGCACGCAGTAAACATTAAGTTTTAAACAGTAAATATTAAAGAGCTATTTGGAAGCCCTTACAAGAAAAAAAAAGAAAAAGAAATCTTGCATCAAGAGGGAATCTGAATTATTTCTGGATGTCAAGATTGCATTTATTTGACCTTGTGGCACAGAGTTTATGAAATAATGTTATGGTCATTTCTTGGAAAACGTTACATATATTGCATGAGTAACTTGGGAGCCCAGGAAATCAGCTGCCATTAACTTCTGGCAAATGTCCAGCAGCAAAAATGAAAGGAATGAATTAATGAATTAATTGTGCAAGACAAGCATAACATCAAGGGGAAGGGCCTATCAGTTAATGGCTATGATGACAGTATACACACCTCTTTGCCTCTGCAGTCAGGAATTGGTTCCACTCAACAGACTAGATTGCAAGAAGCTTGTCCACGTCCTTAGCTCTCACTAACTGAAATTCATCCAATAATATGTGACTCCAGTGAGGTGCTGGGCAGGTCCACAGACAGTACTGATCCAACAATGGTACCCAGTTTATGATAAAAGTGTGTGATTTTATTCTTGAAGTGTTTAGCAGATACATCCCAGTGTGCCTCTGTGCATTCTTTAATACAGCGAGCCCACCAATTATGCAAGGGTTCTGGGGGTCTATGCACAAAGGCAAAATCACACAAAGCCAGGAACCCCCGGAACTGGCCGCCCCTGCAAAGCAGTGGGCTGATTACTGGAGCCTGGGAAGGTTGCTGGAGGGCCTTGAGAGCTTCCCAGGCCCTCCCGCAACCTTTCCGGACCTTGGTAAGCAAGTAGGTGCCTTCCTTACAATGTCTCTGGGATATTCCCAGAAGCTAGTAAGGAAGGTATCACTATGCTTACCAGGCTTTGGGAAGGCAGTGCAAGGGCTCTGGGATGCAAATAGATCAGAAGGAATGCTCAACAAACAGGTTGTTTGGAATGGGGCCAGCACCAGATTTCAGAGGCTCTTAGCATGACACCATCAGTGGTACATCCGACAGCCACACACACTGCCAGAACTGTGCAATTAAGTTTTCTCCTGCTGCTGCTCTTGCAGATTCCATAGATCCTATTGAGCCTCTAAATCTATGAAAACCATAGATCTTAGAATTACAAGCTGGGCTAGGGTGCAGGATAGGCCCACCCCTGAAGAAGGGTGAAGCATTCACCTCAGGCAGAGGAAGCCCCTAAGGTGGCCTCTCTCTGCCACCAGCATCGGCTCCAGTGTCTGGTGAGATCTCACCCTAAATCCGCTGGCAGAATGGTGCATCAGAATAGTACAGCACTTTCAGAGTAGTACAGTAGTTTCAGCTCAAGCAGTGAAGCAGGATGCGCCACGCCTGCTAGGCTGTGTAGATTTTATAGATCCGTTCACTGGGGCATTACATTTGTGGTAAATTAAGATGGTTAATGGCTGCCAAGGAAGGGAAGCAACCTTGGCTCCCATTCAGTAGTGGGAAGCTTGCCCACCCATTGCTGAAACAGCCCTCCCTGGGCCCAGTGTGGAAACAGTGAGTGGCAGCACACCTGGGTCAAGACGGTGGGTTGTTCTGAGGCCCTTGGCCAGTGTCTAACCTGGATGATCGACTGGTGCTGGGCCTGGTTTAGGAGTAACCTGGTTAGTATCTCTCCAGTGTCTCTGTAAGGTGTCTTTCCCATCACAGTGAATGTATCATTTCACTTGGCTTCTTTTGTCTGCAGAATCTGTGATGTATCACTGAGCTATTGCCTTTCCTCTCAAGGTATGGGCTCCAGTTGGCCCACACAACAACTGGATTTGAGCCTATGAACTCATGAGCAGAACTGAAGGAGAGTCATGACTAAACAACCCTGCAGGCATGTGGGAAGGGAGTCTCTCACGAAAGATTCCAAAAGCCAAAAATAAAACCAATTTGAGCACTCACTTTTTGCTGCTTCTCATAATGTGTGAAAGGGCTCTAAGAAACCATAAGCAAAGGTGCTATGTAAGCAGGCAAGGACTACTTCTTTTCCCAAGACTGAGTAAAGGTTCAGCATACTTAACAGTCTGTTGTTATTTCAATTAAATCCCACTAAATATCCATGGAGGCTCACATCCTGACCTTTATCTGTTGTAGAGTAGCACTTGGCTGTTGCACATAGAAAATTACTTCTGTAGAGGAAACATAATTAGGAAGTCATGCTGCATTGTGAATTTTCAGCTGTGTTTTAAGCATGTTTTTAGTGTAATAACAGCATCAATGAATTTGATTGAATTTTACATTTCACATTCTGACTGATTAAAAGAAATAAATTTCCCCTGCACCTCAAACAGCATTTATGTGTTGTGAAAGCAAGCATCAATCCTATCTGGAAATGACTTTTCTATAAACATTGTAAAATATCCCACACATTCTGTTCCTCTTTTTTATTCTAGGATCCAATTTAATGAAACAAACCCCCTTTTTTTCTCCCTCCGTGCTTCTTTATTCCATGACCATCATGGGAATAAAATACTAAGTACATATTCTTGACAATATTGCCTCATTTCTGTAACCATTTCTTATGAGAAATCGAAAGGCAAAGACAGTGAAAACAGGAAACACAATAGGAAAGTTTATGACGTATAAAATGAATTCTTTAAAAGAATTTTGGTTTAAAATGCCAAGGGTGAGAAGTCAACTATATACTGCACACATTACTATTTATTACCTTGCATTTGGCTGAAATTCATCTCTTTTGACAAGCAAGGATAAATCGTATTACATATTTTATAAAATATGTGAGTTGGTCCTTTTTCTTGAAGACCCTACATAGCAAACTTGCATGTACCAGATGCGTACTGAGCTGCAGTAGTCTCCTCATACCCGGGAACTTCATGTAATTTTATGGCAGCTGTATTAGGGAATAAAAGGTATTTATTAAAAACATACACAATTGGTTGATTGTGTATCCAGTTCTTAGAGCACAGAGTGATGACTAAATAAAAATGGAGAAATGCAAGTTTCACTTTTGAGCAAATTTACTGCATGAAAGGTTCATTTTTTTCCATTTCACTTAAATATCTTCAGTGCTTCTCACTGTGTATGGTTTTATTGTGATTTTTTATATATACTTGAAAGCTCATTATTTTACAGTGAGGTTACTGAACCTAGACCATAGAGTGCAGATTATCCAGCATAGCATTAATCAAAATATACATGGCAAATGGGATTCAAAACAGTGCCAAAGAAGCATCTGCTTTTAGCAAAGAACAAAAATTCATTTAGCTCTTTTATTAAAAGGTATTATGGGCAATTTATTTTTAAACTATCACTCTAACACCATTAACTAGCATATAATTTAATGTACTCCCAAGCAACTTGACTTTTACATTTTCTTCAAAACATTAATTTGCTTTTGTAAATTGATGTAAAAGATGCCTTTGACCCCCAGGAAAGATTCAAGCCATTAACAATAAATTAAATTATGTTTCAGAAGTATATGGCCATTAAGTTTTTTGTTTCAGATATAGCATGTTTACAGTTCTATCTAGTGGCATAATATTGCCTAATGGAGAAAGAAAACTGTATTTTACTGGTTTAATTTCTGCTGAAACCATGTCAAGTTTAACAGTTCAATCCTATCCAAATTTTACTCAGAAGTAAGTGTACATAGGACTCCAAATTTCTTTTAAAAACTTAGTTGGTCTCTAAGGTGCTACTGGAAGGATTTTTTTATCTTGTTTCAATTACGGCAGACCAACACGGCTACCTACCTGTAACTACAACCCCAAGAGACTGTGAACTACTCACAGTATAAAAAAACAAGCAGTGATCTACCCATTGTCATTGGAAGAGTTGTTGAGCTTTTTTTGTTTTGTTACAGATCACTAATGGTCCAAAGATCGACCAGGATCAACCAGGAACACCCCACGATCGACCAGTAGATCATGATCGACCTGTTGGACATGCCTGGGCTTCAGGATTCAACCCAATCCTTTTGTCAGCCTTATCGGACAAAAGTTGTGATGATTGCTACGAGGACGGCACCTCTTCCAATGGGCCCAATTTGTTTGCAGGCAAATTCCTCCCCAGGCCGAACTACAGCAACAAATTACATCCACAACATGGTCTCATTAACGCAGCATCAACAGACCCATTTACTGGGTGGGTTGATCTGCTACTGATTGCGCTGCTTGTTCCTAGTGCAGTCGCCCTTTTGAATCATAGCGGCAATCCAGAGTCAAGCCTTGCTCCCTCCAGTCTGCCACTGAGGGTCCACCCACTTTGAAGGCCATGACTGGCCAATTTATACTGTGGATTTTGATGGGCAATCCTGATGTACCCACCGAAGCCAATGGCCAGATGCAAAGAATTGCCCTCTCCACCTCCCAACCCATCCCAAGGAGGCACATTGGGCTGCGCCGCAACCATTCCCCACCCTAAACAGGTAAGTGACTGTGGCGTTTGCCTCCTAGGTGGGTCATAAGGAAAGGGTTAAAATGAGTGTGATGTGATTGGCCAGTGGAAACTGATAGGAGGAGTTGGAGTGAGAGTTGGTGTTGTGTGAAGTTCAGTTGAGAGTTGGGAGTTGGAGAAGGAAGAGGGAGGAATAGTCTGTGGGTTGGTCGAGTTGTGTGGTGAGAGAGTGAGAGGAATTGTTAGGTGGAGTCAGATAGTTAGTTGGAATAATCAGTTTGAAGTTGTTAGGAACGAATAGGACAGTTAAGGAACTAAGATTAAGAAACTGACAAGAAAAATTAACTGAAACCATAAGCTTGCTCATGCCTATAAAATAAACTTGATTATTTGTTAATGTTAACAACTGACTGGACTCCATGTGTACCCGTGAGAAACGGGTTGGTGGCAGCGAAGAAAGCAATCACAGTGGTGGCACAGGGTCAATAGACCGTCAAATGTCCGGTGACCCTGTGTGATCACCACAGTGACCATTTCCCAAACTTTCTTTGCAATGTTCTATGTAGAGAGTCACACTTTATCTATACTGTTGGTTTCTGCCTGAAAGATAGAGCCTGTATAATAACACTGTCCTTAAGCAAGGCTGCACCAGGTTTTCTGTCTGACTTCATTGTTTTGCATACAGCTGCCATCCTTTTACACTCATCCAGGCCTGCTATCATACAAGAGTAGCTGTTACCTCCAGATTATGTCCATGGCTTGCTCCTTCTTTGGCTTTTCTCTGCTCAAGTTCCTCCTATATTTCTAGCACATGTTTATTTACGCTTATGTAAATACAGTCCAGAGAGACAGAGGCACTACTTTGAGAAAACTGCTCCTTGGCATGTCATATTGACTGATGTGTCTGTTTTGATTAAGTGTAAGCACCTGTCTGCATAGCACGGAGTAATTTTACTTTTCTAGAGCTACATGAGCAGGTTCAAGTAGGGATGAATGAACCTGCCACTTTCAATTTCTCTCCCTTTGTTATTTTTCCAGTCTTAAGTTCCATTTTCCAAATTTCTGCATCAGTTTGTGGGTTATTTGTTTTTTTAAAAAGTCCTCATGGAAATGTTATGGTCAATTTTCCTTAATAGAATGCATTTTATATGTTATTTTCATCAATATATGCATTTTATGTGTATTCCCCCTATATTATTCTTGTACACGTTATTTGGTCGGAAAAGTGTTAATTTCAAAGGATACTGGTGTTTTGGTTGTCACATTTTGGGGAAGCAGAAAAGTGTGTAGGCTTGCATTAAAATCCCGACCAAACCAGATTTCTACCCAATCCCATGCAAGCAAACCAATTTTGGGTCACTTTGGGAACCCTTATTGCTGCTCTGTCATAACTGGAGAGATGTTATAATCTGGAAAATGCTAGCTAATTTGTTTGGGGTGATTGTAGACCTTTGATCTCATCTTTGTGAGAAGATCTGAGCAGTAGAAAACCTGTCACAGACCCATTCGCAGAATTCAATGAGTGCTACCACTGCTATCATAATTTGTGTATCCCACAATGGATAAAGGAAAACAGATTCTCTTGAAGACTGCTCAGTCAGCTAGCAAAGTAATTAACTGACTTTCATTTGATTTAATTTTAGGCTGATTAATAATCTTTTTGATTATTTGATTAACCAGTGGAGATGAACTTCACAGTATCACAATAAAAATTACATCTTGATACTAAATGTAGGCATTGTTTTCCAAATAGACTAACTAATATTCTGAAAATCATCTTAAACACTTTGCCTGAATCTTGCAATACATGTTTGTTGGGGATGTTTGAGGGATCCAGTTATTCAAGATTCTGTATGAAATGACCTGATTTGTGCTTCTCTCATTAATGTGTATTGGCAAAATTTGAAGTTTGGAGTGCTGTTGAGTTTGTTTATAAGCCTTTATTACCTATTGTGCTGTGTCTTAGGGGTGGTTTTTGTTTTTGTTTTTTTGTTTGCTGTGTTATAATGTTTCCTGTCTTAAAGCTCTGATGTAACATTATTTTTTTAATAAGGAAGAGTGGTAAGATATATTTCAAATAAATAAAAAAAACCTAGGCCTCATCATTGTGGAATGTATTTTGAAACTTCAGCAATGGAATTTTCTCTTTCTGCATGAATAGAGCAACTGTATGAGCAACTCATAGCTAATGACTATTTCCATGCTTAAGGGTTTGTTTGGTTTTTGCTTTTGAACTTTACTGAGTTTTTACATTTCAGATGTTCATTTGGCATGCCTGATTCCATTGCCAGCGCCAGTATGATCAAAATGACTTTCCTTTTACTGATCATGTAAAAATAGGATTATTGATGTGAGGTTTCGTAAAGATACGATGTGTAGGAGAAAGCATCTATGGAAAAGTAGTTCCAGGGTAGGGCAACGTGGCACTAACTTTGTTAAGTTGTTGCTGTAATGAATGTAAGAAATCTTATGTGGGGTAGTGGTTACAGTGTTGAACTAGGACGTGGGAGACCAGGATTCAAATCTCCACTCTGTCATGAAGCTTACTGGGCGGCCATGGGCAAGTCAATATCTCTTAGCCTGACCTACCTGATGAGTATAGAATGCCACCTTAAGCTCCTTGAAGGAAGGGTAGGATATGAATATGCAAGAAATACATAAATCTTTGAAAGGATCTCCTCTCACAGTCAGTTTCACCCCTTGTATCAAATAATTCAGGTGAGACTGTGAGGGAAGAAGAGAGGGGAGTGTTCCATCTGGCAAGACAAAATGCTTGCACTGACAGAATAACAGTGTGATATTGAGTGCCTCCTTGTGACTCAGCTGCCATTAACATTCCACAAACCCTGGAAATCACTGAGCATAGATCCTTGATGAGATTTGGGGACTTGCTTTGAAAAACTATTTTTTTTTTCCAATTTACAGATATAAGGTGGTATTCAATTATGTTTTACGCAGACCCATAGGAATTAATGGGGATGCGGGTGGCGCTGTGGGTTAAACCACAGAGCCTAGGGCTTCCTGATCAGAAGGTCGGCAGTTCAAATCCCCACGACGGGGTGAGTTCCCGTTGCTCGGTCCCTGCTCCTACCAACCTAGCAGTTCAAAAGTACGAAGTGCAAGTAGATAAATAGGTACCGTTCTGGCGGGAAGGTAAATGGTGTTTCCGTGTGCTGCTCTGGTTCGCCAGAAGCGTCTTAGTCATGTTGGCCACATGACCTGGAAGCTGTACGCTGGCTCCCTCGGCCAATAAAGCGAGATGAGTGCTGCAACCCCAGAGTCAGCCACGACTGGACCTAATGGTCAGGGGTCCCTTTACTTTTTACCTATTGGAATTAATGAACCTGATAGAATTAGGTCCACTAATTTCATTAGGTCTACTCAGAGTAAAATATGGTTCCATACCACCCCTATGCGTCGACATATCCGGGGACTACTCCAAGCACACAGAAATCACTATCTTGTTTTTGGGTGGCCCTGTTTCACTTCCAAAAAGATAAGAGACAGGACTAGCTAGGGAAGGTGCCAGACACAACTTTGTGGAGATGGACTTCCACAAATTGGTATTAGAGGGGGAAATGATAGATCTTATAAGTTATTATCCATTTAAGTGAGACTGTTACAGCTGATAGACTGAGGCAAACAAGCTGGAGCTTGAAAAATGCCATCGATGGCACCTGAGCATTGTGCTAGAACTAGGAGTATCCCCAGTGAGCCTGTACCTTCAGAGGGTGTACGATCCCATCTAGAATAGGTTGCCTACCCACTTCCTGGACATGTGATCCACCTACCAATGGCACCTCTGTCTTATCAAGAGTCCATCTCAGTTTTCTACTTGGCATGGGTTTTAAAAAAACATGGAGGAACATTCAGTCATATGAGACCCACATCTTTTCTTGTGGCCTCCTGCCTCTGCTCCAGTCTTCCAGCCCATCAAAGCCCCTTCTGACAATATTAAATCTATTAAAACAAAACAAAACAAAATTCCTGGTTCTGTGGCTTGGGGAAAGTTAGGCATTTTTCCTCTGCAGCTTTCTGAGAACAAATAGTAGATTTTTTGTCATGTATGTGTATGTATACAGAACACACTAGAATCAGAAAGGCATTGTTTTGAGGTTGGACTCAATAACCCTTGGGGTCTCTTCCAAGACTACAGTTCTACAATTCTATGATTTTTACTTGCTTAGCAGAAGAGTAGCTGTAGGAACTGTTGTATCAAAAAGAATAAAAACATTCCATCTAAATAACTTCATCGAACCTACTGCCTAGGACTGTGAATTCTAAACAGAGGTAGCTGTGGTAAAAACTGAAGCAGGGCAGTCTTTATTCCAGAGGAGTTAATCCATAGCACTTTTGTCTCTGGTTCTGTCCATTATTGACTCTTGTTCAACCCATTGCCAGCATGCAGCCCTCCAGCCTGACAGATTATATCTGATAGAATCTGGCCATTGATAGAAAAAAAGTTTGCCAACACTGTCTTAGTATCCAGTAGCACTACAGACTTAGGCCTATCCTAAACACACACACAGAGTGAAATATGCTAGAGGTACAAATAAACAGAAATATTAATCACACGTTTGATTCTAACATCTAGTCTGGCATCATTTTAAATGTTTTAAGCGCAAATATCAGAATAACCCCGATGGCTGGTAGTCATGCAGCTGTAGCTTCAGGACACCTGCATTTTCATGTTTCTGCCGTTCATTGTTCCGTGGAATCCTATTTTCAGGATATATGTGATTGTGGAATCTCTATTTTGTTTCGCATGACATTAATCTTCACTGTAGTGAGATAGAATATAGATGTTTTGATGCTTTAGTTTCCTAGCTCTTTTGCATAAATGTGGCCCTCAGGCAGTGGTTGATCAGTGAAACCATAACCCCGGGTGCTTGCTGTCCAGGTTTCACCTCTGTGAGTGCATCAATTCCGCAATATTACAGAAGTGCAGAGACTGAAGTAAAGGTCCCCCTACAAGGGCAAAAAGGAAATTTACTATGAATGGAAATGGGCTACTAATTCTTTGTTCACCCTCATAAAACTCCTGCTGTACAGCAAGGAACAGAAATTAAAGTAACATTTGGAAGGTCAGCAGAACAAGATTGTATAAATAACTAAGTCTAAGGATATAGAAGGGTGAAGAAAAGTATCTGGGAATGTAAAAATTGACCTCTATTTTAAAAACATAGTTCTCTATCTACAATATGCAATTTTATATAAAAATTATCAACTAAAATTCATATAATTAACTAAGATTTCTTTAACTGGGTGACAACTCTAATAGAACCAACAGTGCAATCTGATACTTGTCTGTTGAGCTCAGTAGGGTTTTCCCAAGTAAACAGGTATAGGTCTTGTCTTGCCTGACTATTCTCCTTGTATCAAGCACACACATTGAAAATGAAGGAAGCTATTTTAATTCAGTCATTCTGTACTTCATTGGAATGTCCTGTTACAAATGATTCCTCTATTGGATTTACATCTCTGTCATAAATCAAGCTATATTCCTATATCTTTTTAAAAAACAAACAAACAAATCCTCACTTTATTTGAGAAAAGCTTGTGCTGAAACACATTGTCCTAGACGGATGATAATCAGAAGCATGAAAACTGCATGCATGTAATAGCCATTGAGGATCAAAGCCTACAGATGGAGCTTTCAAGTAATCTAATATCAGCTTAGACAAAACATGTTTCAATGCAGGCAGCTCACATATTTAGTGGTGAGCCATCACATGATGATGTGCTACAGCAGGGGTCAGCAAACTTTTTCAGCAGGGGGCTGGTCCACTGTCCCTCAGACCTTGTGGGGGGCTGGACTATATTTTTTGGGGGGAAATGAACAAATTCCTATGCCCCACAAATAACCCAGAGATGCATTTTAAATAAGCACATTCTACTCTTGTAAAAACACGCTGATTCCTGGACCATCTGCAGGCCAGATTTAGAAGGCGATTGGGCCAGATCCGGCCCCCAGGCCTTGGTTTGCCTACTCATGTGTTAAATTGTACAACTGGATAACAAACAGAAACAAAGTCCTCATGGAGTTGGTAATCTCATCAGAGCTGTACCACTTTGGCTTGAAAGTTAGGTTCATAATGATTGCCTCTTCCTCCATAGAAAATCTCCCTTTCATATAAACAACTAGGTGTGGTGCTGGTTCTGAAATATGAATCTCAACAATCTGTTACGTGCCCCTGATATGTGTGGGCATCATTATAGCTCTGAGAATTGTTCCATGGCTCCTTTTTTTACTGACAGCTGTTAGCAGTGCTGGAAAAACGACACTTCCTAGTGCTTCTGATACCTGACTTGCAGCTACAGCAGTGTTCCTGCTACCAGATAGGGGAGAGAGGAGCAATATTGGGGTGGGAGGAGAGTATCTCCCCCCCCACCTCAGCTGCTTAAGCAGCAGCAAGGTAAATGAGATGAATGGATGGGAAGGGAAAGGGTGTATGGAAGCAGAGAGGTAGCATGTGAGAAAGATGGCGGAGCTTGAAAGGTCACTTAGAGGTTGGGGGAAGAACTGGACCCCATCATTCTCCCAATAACATCATTGGAGTGCAACAGTTCTGATTTAGGTTATAACTGGGATCAGAATAAACCAAGCTGTTGGACTATTGGGCAGTGTCGTTTGGTTTTCTGAGCCCAGCTTCATGCCTAACTACAGACTAGGATGGACATTTGCCATATTACTAGATGTCAAGTAGATAGGTTCCAACATGCAAGTTTTCTGTTCAGAAGGCTATGTTTATTTATGTACTGGGGGCAGAGCATTCCCCTAGCAATGCCTCTACCTGAAGGGATGCAAGATGGACAAAGGTGTACGACCATCTCACTGAGAACTCCGCCAAAGTTCCCGAAGCAAGACAAAGAGTGAAAGTTAAGCTATATCAAGACAAAAAGTTTTGGATATTCATTTAGGCTGACTCTCTCCAGAGTCGTTCTGCAAAGGATGTATGTCAAAAAAATACCTTCGCAGGCAAGATCCAAGCTGCTAAATAAATTAGCAATTTATTCTCCTTACTCCATTTGGCTTCTGCTGCATTGCCAT